AGCAGACACTTCGCAATGTCGTGACGCTCGAGTTTTACTATTATTACTATTGCTCTTTCTATGTTTACCTACGGTAGGCCTATGAAATTTCACGGACTTATGTGATGTACGTCACTGTGTAACTAACTCTGACCTTCTTGGATGTTATTAAATGTTAGTATATTATCTACAACAACAACAGCTAGTACGTACCTCCTGTTATAAAGTGTAGATAGGTACAGTTATACCAAAGGCTAGAGAGAAAGAGGATAAACTATAGGCCTACTACAGGCTGCCTATTATCAGCTCTTCTCTTAATTTGAAAATAACTGTCATTCTGTTTCATTTGATCAGATGAAGAAAAACGCGCTTTTCCCAGAAAGCGTTTTTAGTAGGCCTACTCGTAGGACTAGGTAATTATGCAAAACCCAGGCCTAACTAAAAAATTAAAATTGTCATAGTATGTAACTCAAGTTAAAATAACACTTTTCATTACTCGTGCAGCTTAATCAAATATTATATGTCATTTTAAACGACCCATTGGTATTAACATGGTAACATCAACGTATTTTTAAAAATTATACAGCGACGTTCTCTCAGAAGTTGTTCTGTAGACGTTTATCTTGTTGATGACCTTTTGACCTCCTGAATTCTGCAATGAGATTTTCGGGTCGATTCAGCCGAGACGGCCCGAGTGGAGTTTCATGTAAATGTTTCGTACGGAAAAAAAATCGCACCCAGGCCCAATGTCTGTTTTCAAAATGACCTACAGAGAATGAATGAAAATAAATGGGGAAAAAATAATGCCACCCTAGCTTAGCCTACTGCACTAAATTCTGATATTCATCGTATATGTTGAGTATTTATTGGCGGTCACTGTATTTTATTATGAATAGGACTACAAATAGTAGGCCTATAATTGTACACTTATTTTTGATATAGGCCTACCATAATATATTTTAAATGCAAGGTTATTCCCAACTATTATATCGGAACAAATTTTAGACAATAAATCAATGGATAGAAAAAGCAATTTAAAGAATGAAATATGATAATATGTGAAGAGATCGTAATTCAGTAAATATCCCATAGCCCATTCAGTAAAGGACCAGAGTCCAGCGTCTAACTTTTACTTTGTAGAGTATGTCAAAACCACAGGCCCTAAACTTCCAGCCGGCGATGCAGTACACTGCAAGGAAGACGTTCCAAGTCCACTTGATACGCCGTGGCGTATCAACAATTGAAAACTACTTTTATACATTACCAGTGCGTTTTATAAATGAAATTAAAATCCCTGTAGTAAAATAACATAGTCATTTAATACATTCAAGCATTTAAAAACGAATTAATGATTATAAATTTTAAATTTAATTATTTTGAAAAATTATTATAAAATTAATAACCCATATGGAATGGTAGAGTCCATGGTTAATCAACGACGCAACAAAACATGTGCTTCGCTGTTTGAAAAGGGGTGAAAGCAATACATTGAACAGCAATCTAGAGAAAACACGGAGAAAACAATATTTTACAGTATACAATACACAATACAATACCTTGTAATCATATATACGGTAATAAATATATTATTTTACACTAAACTTCGAGATTAATCAACATTGAAATAGAATAGAGTCTAGG